GATACATTATATAAAAACTGTCCGAATATTGTTTTTTCTGAGCGCTTTCGTTTATACATTTAGCCATTTTCAAGGATGAAATATTTTAGCTGTTAAATAAGAAATAGTTTGTTGCATGTAGATACTTATATAATATTTTCATCTTTCAAATCACGGTCAAGATATTGTGTCTATGTTCATAGTTGATATTATTAAGTTTTTTTTGTTTTTTTTGTTTTAGTTTTTATTATTAAGGTTTCCAAGCGCTTGGAAAAAAATTTTAAAAATTCGTACAGTTTTATATAATTTATCATCTGAAAAGGAAAAAAATATTAAATCGCATGAGAAATTGTGTAAAAAGCTAAATGAAAGCACCTTGTCTGTAGTATTCAATGAAATGTGCATATATATATATATATATATATATATATATATATATATATATATATATATATATATATATATATATAGGGCACGATAATGCAAATTGTCAGCAATTTATATTTTAATTTTTCGTATGCGCCTTGTTTCGACTACACAGTATAGCAGGGTAAATTTGGCAGCATATGTGAGAAAAAGTGCACCATGACGTGATTCACACCCCAGAAATTTAGAAACAACATGATGTACTGCTTGTTATTCGGCCGGAAGCTCCAATACAAGCATCTCAGTGTGTTTGGGTGTCAATCTTCGGATTGTGCAGAGTATTCAGAAAAAGTTGGATGAGACTAATGGTGATTACGAAGGTACGGCGGCAGGAAAACAATCTCTGATCGTTTTGAAAGACCTCTTGAAGGGGTAGCTATTGGAAGACCCTATGTCTGGTAATAGGTCCTTGCAGCATGCCACACAAACAGGAGAACAATTTCTGCGACCACATCAACCCTTACATATGTCCACTTAGTTCCTCAGACTGCAAAACCCGTGATTATTACGTGGGCCAACAAAGCACCTCGTTACACCAAAGATAAACTGAAAGTAATGATTATGGCATCATTCATCAACTTAAACAAGGAGACCATGCAGAAGATTTGCAGGAGATTCCGAAGTCATCTGGAGGCAATGGTTGAAACCAATGGGATTTTATTGAATAAATTTATTATTTTATATTTCAAGATATTTTTGTGCAATTCTGGTGAACATATCCATTAAAATGAGATGTCAGTGTCATTTTAACTTTATACAACAATTTATCCATCGCACCCTGTATCTTAATAATCTTGGAGACGGGTTCTTGGCGGCAAAACAAGGACAAAAGTCCAAATAAATGTCTGTCCGCAAATACTTACTTTGAGTTATTTTGTTTAAAGTTTATCGTAGAGGCTGTTCCGTGTATAATCCAAGATATTTCTATCTCTTCCAGATACTGCCTCATCCGTAAAGAAGACTGAAAAGACAAACGACGTGTGCTGATTTCTGGATCGTCTCATACAATCTGGTCAAGCGTACGAGCGGATCACGGTCTTCCTGGATCCATAGTTTCTGGTGCTACGGATTCTGTCTAAGCAACAAGACGATAAACAGCAGCAAAGATTGGGTGACTCGGCTGCCTTCGCTCTGCAAACGCACTCGGATACATTCTCATTATATAGATTTAATTGCTTTGACATTTATTGATATTTCAAATTCAACATTTTTTTCATAAAAGCGCTATAGACTGTGCAACATTTGAATCGCTCTATCACTGATTATTCATTATTGCAAAATATGTTACCCATGTTTGCTTCTTTCAGGTCTTGTTCAAGTTTGCGTCTCTACGTCCTTCTGCTGGGAAAATAACTTCACGAGTTGAGGCTGGAGTATTTGGTCAGATATGTAAAACACGTAAATCTATCTTGGATCCTTTATATTTTGCATGAAAGAATCTTTTCTCTGATGGCAATTAAATAAGTAATTTAGCTGTGTGCGGAGCTGCAGTATTTGATTAAAACCGGAATTAGGAAAATATCTTCTTTTATATTCCGAATCATTCATTATTACTACGCACTTTTTATTGGAAGATAATTTTTAATGATTTCCAAATATATTTCGAATTTCAATTACTATCTTGTATGTAAAATCTTCGTTTATAAAGTCGTTAAGGAATCAACAATATCTAGACCAATATCAATATATGCGCGCGTTTGTGTGAGGGGGAATGTGATATATATATATATATATATATATATATATATATATATATATATATATATATATATATATATATAAAAAAAAGAGAGAAAGTGTGTGTGCGTTTGTGTGCGTGTATGTGGTGATTTTTAAGTGTAACTTACATATGGCATAGGACCAAAATTAAGGGGTACCCAGTGAGGATCAAACTCACTACTGAGTCTGATCTAGCAAGAAAAGCTTGCTATCCATTACACAGTGTCTAATTGTCCATACGATTTACTAAGTGTAGCATATTTATGGCACAAGGTCGAAAATATAGAGCACCCAGTGAGGATCGAACTCACGACTCAGTCGTGTCTGATCTAGCATGATAAGCTTCTTAATCGTTACAACACGGCGAAGCGACCAAACGATATATAAAGTGTAGCTTAGATATGGCACATGAACGTAAGTATGGAACACCCAGTTAGGATCGAACTCACCACCCAGTCGTAAATGATCTAGGAACTTAAGCTTCTTATCCATTACACCACGTTGAAGTACCCAAATGTTTTTTTAAGCGTAGATTAGTTACGGCACAAAGCCGAATATTTGGTTAGTTTGTTCACATGGGCTCCTTATTGGTTATCTAAAGATGGACTTTTATTTTGTAAGCATTGATATTTTTACAAAAATATATTGCTGGTCATTTATTTCTAATATATTTTTACATTTTCATGATTTGACACGAGTTTGGGAGAGTCACTAGTTGTCCATAGCTGGAACCCGCTGTCAAGGTTGACCTGGGAACAACAGCAATTAAGAAGAGGCCTGGCTGCCGGATGTAGTTTATCGTCATACCCAGGAGAACCGAATGTTTGGAGCATCCGGAGTGGGTGGAAATGAATACTCAATTGTAAATAATCTAGTAAGTAAAACTTACTAATCATTCCACCAGGTCGAAGTGCCTGAGTGTGTATGTTGACGCAATTATTGGATTTCTTTTTAATTCGACATTATTTCTTATTTCGACAGGTGTTCTAATTAGCGAGTAAGGATTTTGAGATATTCTCCCCTTTAGTAAGACGTTTTTTTTTTATTCCACCTAAACACATGTAAGCACTAAATGTATCCTTCATAGTAATAAGAAGAATATAATTCACATGACTTCCTTCTGTAACCCTGACACTGATTGTGATTCATTATGTGATGAAAATCTCTATTCATCTTATTGGGAATAGTGACACAGAGGTGTCTTCTTTCGTAAAAGCAGGTATCGTTGCGTTTGTGCGTTCTCAGAAATACCAGGTGAAACTACAATCTTCTTTTTGCTTCACACCTACTTGTCCAGCTGCTATAGCTCAGAGGAATAACTTTTTTAATTTGTACCAACATGATATTTTCCATCACAACAGATACCTCTGTGTCCTGTCGTAGTAATTATAAACATGTCCGCAAAGACGCTCATTCTTTGTCCGATGAAATAATTAGACATCGTATAGCCTCTAAAATTTATAGTTCTCGTGATTACTATTGGATTTGTAATAATGAATTTAATAAGAATCATTTCGCTCACTTTGAGGTGTTACCTTCTTTTGTTGATAAAGCTGAATATTTTGCTCGTAAATTCTCTTCAAATTCTGTTCTTGATTCATTTTTCCACGGTTTCAGCTATCATCTTTAAACTGGTTCCCCTCAATGCATTTGAACTTTATCGTATCGCTGCAATACTACCTGAGAAATATGTTCCTGAAATGGTTCCTATTCTCTCTAAACACATTCTTTTCTGGACAATAGTGTGTAAAAATCCACATGTAATGCATGTCCGAACGCGTTCGGCTATTCTTTTAATCTACCGCAATGAAAAGTTGGTTTTCTATGTCGTGCCAGAAAGTTCTTTCTGGACTGAGTCCATCCTTCAAATCTATAAATCAACCATCTGTCCTTGCATGGAATATTGCTGTCATATATGGTCTGGTGCTCTCGCTGTACGTCTCGAGGTCCTCGACAAAATCCAGAGACGAATAAGCAATGTGAGAGGTCGTGGTCTGGCATCTAAATCTACAGTCGCTTTCTCACAGATGTGCCGTTGCTTGCTTCTGTCTATTTTACAAGTATTTTCACGTCAGCTGTTCCGACGACCTATTTTCGTTGGTTCCAAGGCTGCATGAATTTAGGCGATCTACCAGGCTGGCATCTCGGTCCCACACTTTCACTGTCAAAACGGTTAAATGTAACCGTCTCTTCTACTACAACAGCTTCTCTCGCACTTCCCACCTGTGAATCTTCTTTCCTCTTACTTGCTTCCTCAATGACTATAATTTTCAAATATTCAAGTGTAATGTCGATCGGTGTCTGACACCCTGAGCTTCTTCCCCATCCTTCTCTGTATCCCTTCCTCAAACACGCCTCTTTACTCTTGTTCTCAATCCTCTGTAACCCCTTGTGTGCTAGGGGCACTCCTGCCTTGCTTGGAATGAATTGCTTTAAAAAAATATTCAGGATGATTTTTATTTACATGCCCCTTAAGTAACTACGCTCGGGCAGTTGGCTGTTCTCATTGCGCTCTCATGTCTAGGGATATCTCATTTCTTTTTTATTTATTTAATCATTTATTTCTTAGTACTGCTCAGCTATTGTGCTACTTGCCGCCGCTGAGTCCAAATACACAATGACTTGTCTATGGATGGAACTCCCTACAGATTACCAAGATTGATATACACCTGATGAAGACCGGATGACACAACTGCCGAAACACTGTGATGACAACAACAAAGATCAGGACAATAGTCCGAACGTAAAGAATGTAAAGATAGATAGATAGATGGAGAAAGGAAGATAGAAAGATAGATGGAGGTGAGAAGATAGATAGAAAGATAGATAATAAAATGAGAAAAAAAAAGATTACATCCATACATACATACCTAGAGCTATTTATCTATGTAGATAGATAGATAGATAGATAGATAGATAGATAGATAGATAGATAGATAGGAAGAACCAGTGTGGGAATAGAGACTGCTAGGATTTAATGGTTACTTGGGTGGGGAACTGCAAGTCACTATATAACGTTTATTTCATTGTCCATATTTATTGTGCAAATTATAAATGTGACATTGAGTTCTCTTCATCCATAAATATAGGAAATTCTAAATATAATATATATATATATATATATATATATATATATATATATATATAATATGCGTGATGTTTTTTTTTGTTTTTCTTTGTCTTGTTTTTTATTTCACCTCACGGCTGATATCTATCATTATTAAGTTCCTTTTGACTTGGATTTTTACTTTTACTATAGACATATTTCTTTTATCCTTTGTGTCTGTATAAACTGTTTTGTTTGCGACTGCATTTAGCGCCATTTTATTTTATTTTCAATCATTTTTCCCTCCTACCGACTTCGTTTTGCGGTATAATTTCTTCACGCACACTTTAGTTTTTGATCGTAAATCTATAGAGGATAAACAAAATTTTCACATTGAAAAAGCCAAAAAAAAAAAAAAAAAAAAAAAAATCGAAGAAAATGAAAAGCTGCAAAATGACAAAAAATTTTTAGGAAACCATAATTCTGAAAGGAAAAAACAAAAATGGAAGGAGAAAAAAAATAGAAGAAAATAAAAGAAAATAGAATGCGCAAATAAATTTGCTAAAGCAGAGTCACTTCTTGGTTTTGCACACGGGCGCAACTGTGTTAAATTGCTGTCACGTCACATCCATACGGGAAAGTACGCATATTCATATATTGAGACAATTACCTCAGCGAAGATACATATATACACAATTATATCACACACGTAAAAACAAACAGCTTTATGAAATAACGCACTAACTGAAACCTCAACTTCAAAACGCAGTACCTTTAAAAATTTATTCTATAAATGCATTCTTCATTTTCCTTTTATTTGTGCTAGGTTCCTTTAGGAAGTGGGGTTATGGCTCTCCACAACTTCATTTCCTTCTGAGTAATGTTTTTATTTTTACTATCCATTTCACTCTATCCATTTCCATAATCACCTTAGGGTGGTTACTCTTTGTTTCCCTCCATGTTTTTTGCATTCAGTGTGTCCTATGTGTATCAATTTTTTCAGGCTGAGGTTTTACATGAAGTGTCATAGAAATTAAAACTGTCCCTTTAAGATTTTACGCATAATTGTCCTTTTTGTTTCATTTATGCGCAACTTTGTTTATTTAGCGGCATATCAACAAAGTATGGGTCATTTAATGTTGAATTTTAATTTTCCTTGAGAACAGTAATAATTTTCTTTACAAAAATATATTGCTGGTATTTTTTAAAATGGATTGCTAGTAACATTTTCGAAACTATATTACTGGCAATATTTTACTATGAAAATGCACTGCTGGTATTTTGTAGTGTTTTACTCTAGTTTGGGTGTTAACTATTTGCCCATAACTGCGACACAGGTGTAACCACCCACAACAGCTGGACCTGGGAACAACAGCAATTAAGAGTTGGTTCCACACTCCTCAAAACCTACAGTCTCCCGATCAGAGGCCTTGCTGACGGGTGGAGTTTATCGTCAAACTCATGACGATTTTGCGTACGTAAAATGTCCTGCATTCACTGATATATAGGAGGATCGATATTACATAACAGTTCCGCACTCTTTTCTTTGTTTCTAACGAACTTTCTCTGTTTCTTAATCCTTTTCTTACGGATGAATTTTTTTTTGCAATTCTAGTGCCCATTCGAATTTCGGCGTATGCATAAATTTGCATAATTTAAGCCTCGAAGCAATGGTTAACTGTCTTATCTTGTGTAATGATTTCGAAACGACACATATTGCTTTTTTTTAGAGTAAGATATAGACTTTTTTTCTTTTCTCAATTATTTTCTTATTTTAAAACTGCGCATCCGGTAAATCTTAATAAATTAAATGCGCACTCCAGAAGGGATCGAACCTGGGTTCTTTTTTTCAGAAGAAGCCAGGGTTTTATCGCTTGGCTACAGAGATCTTCACAGTTCAGCAACTCTATATTTTTCTCTCATTCAGCTAGTTCGAAACCCCATATTTGGTCATTTTCCTATCCGTAAGGTAAACACGGCAATTTCTAAAGAATGAATGGGTCGTCTATTATAAAGTAATAAAACGTCGATCCGTAAAAGAAAGGCGTAATTTCCAGGCGGACGGGAGGAAAATAAGTGATGAAAGAAGGGAGTTTGGTTGCCAAGAAGAGAACCGTGTCTACACAAGAGAGAAAAGAAAAATGCCTGAAAGTTAGCGTTTTTTGGATTTGTTTTTTAAGAAATGTGTTTTTTAAAAGGAATGAATTAAGACAGCATAACTTTAATCTGCAAAAATTTAAATGCAATGTCAATCGCTGTCTACTGACGTCCGGAATAATCTTCCTCTGTCCACGCTACACCGAGTAACCATTTGTACTTCAGAGGCTTTACTGCCTTGCTTGCGGTGAATTTGATTAAAAAAATTACAGTAGTCAAAGAAGTGGTCCTTTTTTTTTAAAAAATAATTAGAAATTTTCTTCTCAAAGTGGGAATACACAGATGATGATAGTTTTCTGGACATTTAGGCTGTTTAACAGTTTTATATTTCATTTTTTTTTTTGCTTTCTTCCTTCTACAAGTAGTCGACCCTGATCGCTAGATTTTGCTTCTGTTATTCCACCCATAAATGGAGATAGGTAGAAAAAAATGGAGTCATACTTTTTTCCAAAGAGTGCAAGCCGATTACACTCTTATTCTTATTTTATATGCAGCGATCATGGCTCTCCACTTCCTCCTATCCCTTGTAGTTCTCAATATGTTTTGTCTTTTTGCTACTTCTACCAGATTATTCTGTTCCTCTTTCCCTCTATCGGCCCTCTAAGTATCAGACTTTCCAAACCTTCTTTTCTCATTACGTGTCCGAGACATTTCAAATGCCTCTTTCTGATGTTAAGTATAAGTTTCCACTTTCTTTGCATCCTCTCCAAAACGTCAATAGTTATATATCTACCGTTTGATGTCAAGGACTCTAATTATAATGGCTGCTTGCCTTAAACGCCTTATCTTCAAAGAAATTCCCTCGTCGAGTTTTTATTTTTATTGTTATATTTCTTGGTATAATACTGGCTTTGTTATTCTTTTCAAATGAAAAATAGAAACACTAAGCCAGATGGCTGAATAGATTAATAATTTCGAGTGTCTTTAAGAACAAGAGAAATATATATATATATATATATATATATATATATATATATATATATATATATATATATATAATCGACTCTCCCGTCGCGTTCGACGTATGAGGGTCAGGCCGATAAGTCCCCAGGAAACCGACATCCCGACACCGGCACATGAGATTTGTTTATAGTGGTGAAGGCCTTGTATATATATATATATATATATATATATATATATATATATATATATATATATATATATATATATATGTGTGTGTGTATGTATGTATGTATGTATGTATGTGTGTGTGAGGTAATTTCAAGTAAAAATTTCAAAGACGAAAATAAATGTTACTTGTCGAAAGATGTTTTATTTAAAAGTGTGTTGTTATTAACAGTTAAGATTATTTTTGAATGTGCAGAAATACAAAGCTAGATTTTGAATATTGTAGTAATGTACTAATTCAAAATTTCTGTTGTTGTGTTTTTGACGTGGAGTATTGGTCAAATAATTAGAGAAATGTCTTGGAAGGATTCATATATTTTTATGCCACAGATCGAATGTTTGAATATTAAGAAGTAATGCAGCTTAATTAATATTATAAAATAGTCATTCAAAGAATAAATCAATAAAGTTAATGTAATTAAAGGCGAATTTACATCGCTAACATATTAAGGAGACATTAATTTACTGACCACTCGCTGAACGAGACGATCGTTATTTTTATTAATTGTACTATGGATTAGATTTTCGGTCCATATAGTTTGCAAGCGCATTTAATGCACAGAAGCACCATTTTTCAGTATATGTATATATATATATATATATATATATATATATATATATATATATATATATATATATATATATATATATATATGAAAATTATTTTAGACACTCAGAGGCGACGGGCTGTTTTTATGGTAGACGTAATCGTTAGGACTGACGATTGCGTCTACCATAAAATCTGTCGCCTCTGTTGACTTCAATTTTATATTTACATATGGTCTATCTCTGATGTTGAGCACTTTATCCCATAAATATAGCACATCTTAAAACTATATTTCTTCACACACACACACACACACACACACACACACACACACACACACACACACACACACACACACACACATATATATATATATATATATATATATATATTAGTAAATTCCCAGATCAATTCTGTAAACAAGACAGATTGGTATAAAATGACAATTGGAAAAAAAATCTTAGATGTTGCCGACGCGTTTCGTCTTCCGACTTTTTCGTCTTCCGACTTTTTCAAGAATTGAAACCCTGTAATATGTGAGCAAGCGGAGCTATACTGAGTCTGATTTGCAGTCTCTTCGTCACCGAGTCCCGTTGGAACAGTTGGTATGGTGTTTGCTTGACAACCTAACTGTCAGGGTTTCAATTCTCTGTAGTGGATCCGCACTGCTGATGGGTCCCAAATATAAGACAAAACGGCCGTCCTGTGCTTTCTGCATTCAGTTGAGGTTTCTTTCAGACACGATGAATTGCTTAACTATATATATATATATGTGTGTGTGTAATTTTTGTGTATTAAACAAGTTTTGTTGAGTAATATCGAGAAGTTCTGTCGATTCAATCTTTATTATGTTTTACAAATCTCTGAATAAGTAGTTTTATACAATAGGTCAATTTTCAAACTCGTTATAACCTCATACGCCTTAACATTACATTAAATATTTTAGGGAAACTCTTACGATATTACACCACAAGAGTACTATTTTACGATCATTATGTTAACATTTACACAGATTGACGGCATCGCTATGGGCTAGCCTCTGTCTCCCATTTTTTCTCATTTCTGCATGAACCATGTAGTAAACAAGATTTTTAATAATTTAAACAAATTTGCCGCATATTGCAGATATATTAAAAACAGAAATGAACTTTGAAATCTTTGCCGATTGTATAAAATGATTTATTGTGAAATTTGTAAAACTCTGTAACAATTGGATAGACATACCTTGAGGATATTGTTCAACAAAACATGTTTAAAATATTTTTGCTGCCTAAATACACATGATATATATATATATATATATATATATATATATATATATATATATATATATATGAAAGAGAGAGAAAAGAGAGAACTATATGTGTATCAGTGTATTTATGCACATATATATGTAAAGAAAGAGAGATTGAATAATAATAATTTCAATGCACTTAATTTCGTTTTGAATATTAATTTAAATCGCGCGAATATTATGCAGTGGAAATGTTATATCAATATCCAGTTAATAATTACACCACAGGTTGTAGATCTGTTGTTGATGTTTTAAAGTTTTTACTCCACACAATAAAGGTCAGAAATAAAAGGAGACATTTGATCATTTGGGCTTAATTTGGGAAATTGTCTTGGCCGACAATCTTTTAGCAGCTCACATATACTTCAACAGAATTTCAATTGTAGTAGTCATCCCAAAGGACGTAGCTAATCATTTTAACCATAACAACATTAATTTATTATTGTTGCATGATGCGTTCGATAGTTTAGGAATGGAGGAACAAAAGTTTCACATTGGTCAGGTTCTCCAAAGTTTTGACACGGGTTAGCATTAAATTACAATAAAAAAGTAAGCATAAACTTTTCATTTGAATTTAATAAAACTTCTTTAAATGTGTTTTACTTCCTAAATATGCGTTACATACCCACCCATATCACCCACACACAAACACACACACACACACACACACACACACACACACACACGCGCGTGCACACACGAAAAGATTTCAGGCGTCATCAGGAGTGTTGACCATGTTTGCCGTAGTCTTTGAATATAGAATCCAGTGCAGTACGTAATGTGTTCAATGGAGCAACGCCAATATCACTAGTAGCAACTGTTCAGTAATTCTTCAAGTCTTCGATATCAGAGGTTGGCAGTGAAGATATTTTTGGAGAGAAAAGAAAATGGCTGCCTTTATACAGGTCGCATTGAAGATTTTGAGCATTCTGATTGGTTAACCATTCTATCGGTGAACTATAAAATGAGTCAGCTCATTTTGGCTAGCTCACTTGTACACCGGGGTACCCAAAAATTCCAACAAATAGTACGTCAAGGAAAAACTGAGATCAACCTGACTATGCCCTACGTATTTACAAACACAGATATTTTGAAAATTTTTAAGGAGAAGCGAGAACTAAAGACACTCACTGTGCTACTGGCCCTAAGAACCTGCTGATATTTTTTTAATGGACTGCCATTGGACGGTTCAAAGGTGAACTCCCCCTTTTGAAAGGGAAGGGAGAACTGGGACTGGACCTTAGAAGGAGTTGGAAATGAGACCGCTTTCTGCTGCGTTTGTTCATATATGAAGGATGCATGGGTAACAAAATTGCTGAGGACAAGTTTCCCCTTCAGAGAAAGTTTTGATAAATCCTCTCGAAGAAGCCCCATAAGTTCATAAGTGGTCTTTGGAGCTAAAGCCGTTTAAGAAGAAGAAGAAGAAGAAGAAGAAGAAGAAGAAGAAGAAGAAGAAGAAAGAGTAAACACGTGCGTTTTCAAAAATGTTTTAGCGCGTGTTTAAGTAAACTTTCACCTTCTAGCGGCCGTAAAAGAAAGGCGTAATTTCCAGGCGGACGGGAGGAAAATAAGTGATGAAAGAAGGGAGTTTGGTCGCCAAGAAGAGAACCGTGTCTACACAAGAGAGAAAAGAAAAAAGATAAAAACTTTTGAACATTGAAAGGACTAAAAGTGTACTGAAGATCTAAGGCTCTTCTCCCTTGTTTTATTGTTATCCTTGACACAGCAAGGGGGCGCAATTTCTTCTTTTTTTTTTTTTTTTGCATTGTAATTTGTAAGTTTTGTTTTTCGGATATATATTTTACATTGTGTTAATCAGAGAATAGGTTATCTCATTCTCAGCAAAAAGGAGAAATTTAGAAATAAATAGATAAATATTTTCTTTGTAAATGAATTTTGTTTGTTTGTTTTTTTTCGTTATTAATTCGGACAATAGCGAAAATACTGTTGCAGCAGGTTTTATTTTCTGAAAGAAAATAAGATTTCCGAAAATATAATGAGACTGGCACTGACCAATAGAATATCCCAAGCCGCAAACGCGTCTACAAATAGAAGACAACGATTCTGTTTTCTCTTCCGAGGTCAACGTACTAATGACGCGGCTGTCTATACTGATGACATAGATGTTCTTAGTTGGAATAAGAAAGATCTTGAACAGAAAATTAAGAGCAGTGCTTGCACTTACACTGAATCCATCATAAAAATAAACTATATGGATATAGTAGATACTAAAAACTTCAGATACTTCGGCGTATGGACCAGCTATAACAAATTATGTCTAGGACATAAATATTATTACATTATACACCATTTACAGGTTAATTAAAGCCAGAAAATATTTATTTTTTTAGGTTGTCTGAATTATTATTTAGAGAAACAATAATTGATAATTAACCCATAGCTGGGGGAGAAATGTTGGATTCATACCTTTCTCAAGTACATTCGCGTGTAAGTGAATGTTCAAACGTAAAACGAATTAGAGCTCAAATCATCGATTAACAATTCCGAGCCATTATCAATTACACAAACCGGACATATTATCTTACAGTACTTTTTATTTTCAAGCCGTCACACTTTTAGGTTCTAACCAGGGTCGATGTTGCTTAACTTATCTAATCTTACAGGGAGCAGTCTTTTAACCAGATGAGGCCGTAATTCCTTTTTGTTATATAATATATATATATATATATATATATATATATATATATATATATATATATATATAATAGGCCGATGGAAGTAATTTGAAAGATAAGAAAGAACACAAAATAATAATAATTGTAATATTGAATAATAGTATTTATTGTATATTATTAGTCGTCTCATAATAAGAAGTATATGAAGAAGGATGCGTGGCCAATCTTCCCCCATATATATATATATATATATATATATATATATATATATATATATATATATATATATATATACTGGTGTTATGTTTAAATCCCACATTACTTATTAATAACAAGCAACGAAAGGCTCTAGCCAAATAAACTTCAAGCCCAAACCACTTCCCATAATGAGATACCTTACACCTCCGCCAGTCACCAACACAAGCTCCTTATCAAAACAAGGCGTCTCTCAAAGCAGAACCAATATCGAAAAAAAATGAAAATCCCAAATCCAGACAGACCCTTAAAGGCTGTAGACGGCAGATCTCGGACAAGCTTGAAATAGACTATACCCAGGTGAGGTAATTTTGTTTTTTGCTTTAATGCACACACACACACACACACACACATATATATATATATATATATATATATATATATATATATATATATATATATATATGAGTAAATTGATGATTACCGCTTATGAAACTCCGAAGTCGGGATGCTGAAGGTAATATGAGTCAGCTAAATGACGAATTTTACACCCATTAACTATATATATATATATAAAGAAAGATAGATCGACAGAAATATAAATAGATAGATATTATTCACATAAGTAGATGTATATATATATATATATATATATATATATATATATATATATATATATATATATATATATATATGAGGAATTAATATAATTTATATATTACATATAAATATACCATTACAAGTTTATCTACATAAATAGTAATGTATAAAACATAGTCACTCTTGTGACTCAGAGATCATCATTGTTCTTGATATGAAATTAAGTATTCAACTTCAGAGTATACGTATCCTGTCTTGAATGTAAATTAATATGTCCCATGTATTTGGAGTCAAGTGTCAGGTTACGTACGAACAGTTTCTATTCAGCTTGAGAACTATTAATAAATGAACTTCGAACGAATGTCCTTCCCACGCCATATTCTCGGTGTGAACCTCGGCCTTTATAATACGGTCTTCCCATATTTAGCATTTTGAAACGTGTGTTGATATCAGAAGTAATCACAAGCTTTGTCGTGTCCAGAAAAATAATTTCAATCGTTTTAGTGTGCCTTCTTCGACAATTAAATGACAAAAATGACAATTCTAATACGGAAGAAACTTGTCTAAATTGTTCTTTCCATATAGGAACACGCCGTTGATGATTAATTTATTTGACTTTACCACTTGATAATCTAATTCACAAAGATGATTCACTTCTGGTTTATCTTTACACAGTTTATTTCAGTTCCAATCTCCCGATTGTTTTAAAATCTCTTCGTCATAATTCCTTCATAGCTACCTTTCTGCAACCTCTCGATTTATATATATATATATATATATATATATATATATATATATATATATATATATATATATATATATATATATCTTCCCGATTTTTCTCACACCTTCTGTTTTTATAGCCTCTCTTCATTATTTCCCATATCCCCTGCCCACTCAGAATCTTTATCTGTCTTTATATCTTTCTCTCTGATCTTATTCATTTTTCATTTGTAAATGATAGCTATTCCTAACCTGATTTGCGCGTTATTTGCCTACGTCATTCTGATTTTATTTCGCAAACCAATGAATGAAATACGATTGGTTGAAGGATTCAAATGATAAGAAAAGCAAAAAAAAAGAAGGAATTGCTTCGACAGTTCAATGAAAAATTCATAAACGTAAGTCTAAAAAACAAACATAAATGTTAGCTGTAACATACAGAGTGACAAAAGCAAAGTACATGCGATATATATATATATATATATATATATATAGATAGATAGATAGATAGATAGATAGATAGAGAGAGAGAGAGAGAGAGATAGATATAATTATGCGCTTATAAACACACACATACACAAACACATACATAAGACACACTCCCCTGACACCTGTCACGTGAATTGATAAATTATGTGTTGCCTTATCTACAGGTTGTATTTTTTATTTTATTTTTTTTTTATTTTAGCTATCACAGTTGAATTTCTACTTCTGACACGAACTCAGTCCACACCGGTGTTGATAAAACAATAGGAGGTAATTGGGATTTTATTTTTTATTATATATATATATATATATATCACATATGATGAACGTATCTTTCAGTACAATTTTTAATCCTGTACCTGTACCCGTCACCTTATCTCTCTCGCCAGTGGACTTGTTGCTCAGGTGGAATAGCAAAGAAGGAACACAGAACTGAACAGCAATCTATCCACACAAAACATTTGTTTAGAATTCTGAAGTCTTGTGTAGAACCAGCTACACTTATTGAAGTGCTGATAACAAGTTGGTGCAAATATTTGACACAATGAACAAAACCCCTCAGGTTTTATTATGACGGAGTTATACCTCACCGGTAGGTACGACCAGTGCACCAAAGAGTGCAGCGCCTTTTGATGGTAATTTCACGTGATTTAGCCCGCCTGCTGAAGCGGTTAAACAGGGTTTGCCGCGTGGAGATTTAGGGAATGGGTGAAGATCAGTGTTGCCCCGTCCATCTTAATAATAAGCGCAGCAGTCGAGTAACAAAGGTACTACTTCTACACAATGTCACCTACACGCACACTGGATGTCGGAGTAAACCGCTTTAATCATCAAATTTGTAGAAATATATTTCATTTTGATGACGAATATATATATATATATATATATATATGTGTGTGTGTGTGTGTGTGTGTGTGTGTGTGTGTGTGTGTGTGTGTGTGTGTGTGTGTGTGTGTGCACGGGCGCAAATATATTGAAAAATAGGAAAGAACCGTTAGGTTAATAATCCGAAGTTGTTTATTATTTATGTTTTTATTTAAAAAAGAAGACAATGTTCGATACACAAGTAGAGCCTATATTATATTTATTCTTTTTAAAAAATATGATTCCATCGCTACATAGGATTCTAAAATTCGCTCGAGGATTAAATAGGACTAGGTACTTTAATTAAATTTCTATAATTGAATTGGAAGCTTTTAGCTTCTGTTTTTGAAACATGGCATTTCCTATGTAACGATGGAATCATTTTTTTAAATAATTATATATATATATATATATATATATATATATATATATATATATATATAAAAATTATAACATTTATGTTATAAAATCACTACAAAAATATTTTTGTAGTGATTTTATAACATACTTATGTTATAATTTTTTTATAAATAATAAGTATATCTGCTCTACTTTGTATTGAGCACTTTTTTAAGAATAGTAATTGTTGGTTATTGGAATTCATTCCGTATATACCAATTATATACTTGTATATATATATACATATATATATATATATATATATATATATATATATATATATATATACGATGTGTCAAAGATACATTTACAAATTTTGGAGGCGGGTTCCTCACAAAAAAAACACAAGGAACAAAGCTATATAAACTTATGCGCGAAAAACCTTCGTTTTGCGTTATCAAGCTTCAAGTTGACGATAGATGCTATTAAATGTACACTCCAAAAATAATTTTACAAAATTTGATAGCAAGTCTCTAACAACAAAGCAAGGTAAAATGTCTATATAAACATATCTGAAAAGGCCATCGTTGTACCTCAACACAGCAACTCATAACAAATGTTCAAAATGTCCTCCGTTTGCTTCTACACACGCATGTACCCGTCGCATCATTGACTGGCGGGCCTTTTAAAATCCTCCCACAGGGTGTCAAATCGATTCGCAGACACCCAATACACGTTGATGAACGTTTCTGCATTAGATGGTAGATGTCA